GCCTAATGGTGGTTGCATCCAGTCAACTGCTTCAGTGGCTACTGAATACAGTAGCCAGTAAGTGACATTTTTCTTTGCCCTCTGCTTAGCTTGGATGGGGGAAATTATGTATTTCAAAGTACGCATGGCCAACTTTAAGCCAGCCATACATGGACCAAAATTCAGCCATATCAGCAGGGACAGTCAAATTTCGATCCATGTTTGGGCAGGCTGCTTTACACACAAGTTAATCTATTAATTGATTTGTGTACAACCAGCTTGTTGGAAATTTTTCTCGCGATCAGTGCCGCTATAGCTGGTGTATTCTGATGTATTCTGATGGCGGGGAAGTCTCCCCACAGTCAGAATACAACAGCTCAGCAAGAGGGATTCCCCCATCCATACCGATTGTGTAGATGGGGGAATTTAGTTTTTTTTTCATCCAACCCACTGGTGTATCCAGCCTTAGTCTATTGTTTTCAAAAAGACAAACTCTGTATGGTAGACTTTCAGTAAGGATCAGCAAGGCAAGACCAAGAGGCAGAGCCTTTAGGCTGGACATACACTAGTAGATTTTCAAATGAATATTCATACAGACATTTGTATAGAAATATCTCATGAGTATATCTGATGACAAGACAAATGTCATTCGATTTTGGAATGCATAGACTTTCCTGAATGAAAACCACATTCACTGTTAAAAATTGGTTGGCTCGAGAACATTTTTCCATCCTGCTTATTTGAATTTTCTTGTCACTGTGGTTGAAAACAAATGTTGATTTGCCCCCACTAATAATCAGAAAATCAAACAAATAATCTAAAATGGAAAAACTCTGCACAAAATTCTACTATTTATTTATTTCAGGTACTTATATAGCACCGTCAATTTACGCAGCGCTTTACACATATATATTGTATATTCACATCGGTCCCTAACCCTCAAGGGGTGTACAATCTAAGGTCCCTACCTTACATTCATACATATACATATTAGGGCCAATTTAGACAGGACCCAATTAACCTACCAGCATGTCTTTGGAGTGTGGGAGGAAACTGGAGTACCCAGAGGAAACCCACACATGCACAGGGAGAACATACAAACTCCAGGCAGGTGGTGCCATGGCTGGGATTTGAACCAACGACCCTAGTGCTGCCAGGCGGAAGTGCTAAACATTTAGCCACTGTGCTGCCCTAGTGTATGCTTAGTGTATTGCTTTATATGGCAACCACTTTGAACATACAGTATATAAAATGTACAAGAAAAACAAGGTTTTAAGCAAAGTCAGACACTGATAATAATATTTATATTAGGATGAGATTTTTCAAATGTGTATCTAAATATGTTCACTGAAAAATCAAAAAACAAACATAGCCACACTCTATATGCTAATTAACAGAAAGTAAAAAAAGAATTAGAAACAAAAGGCGCAGAGCTGATATATACAAATAAAATGAATTATTATATGCTACCAGACAATATTATACTGTAACAAAATGATGAAAAATGACCAATAATAAACGTCCAACATATGAATGGCAAGAACGTGAAAGTAATTCACTGTAATATGTCCCAAAAAACTTGACCAAACAATAGTCCAAAGAGTGATGTGAACCAGTAGTGACCAGTAATAACTGTGATTTCTGTGATACTCCTCCACCACTATGCACTCACCAGAAGTAAAAGGTAAGCCAGCATTGAATGGAAATTACTCCTTGGAACATATCTGCCCACTTCCTACCACCAGTCACCGTCCAAGATGAAGTCACTCCTAAGGGCAGAGCTCACAAACAGAGCCCGGAAATAGCACAATATAGTGTAGTATATTTATTAAAAATTGCAGTAGCCACGTGGAGCATAATATGAACCAGCAGTAAAATCACTTACAAAGATGTCAGAGTGACATCAGCACGTAGGCTCCTCCCTGATGCACTTTGTGGACACGCACGTTCTCAAAGGGTCCCTTTGAGAACGTGCATCTGCATGAAACGCGTCAGAGAGGAGCCTACGTGCTGACGTCACGCTGCCAAGTCCCATGCGATGGTCCGGCGGCCATCTTTGTAAGTGATTTTACTGCTGGTTCATATTATGCTCACGTGGTTGCTGCAGGTTTTAATAAATATACTACACTATATTGCTTTGTTTCCAGGCTCTGTTTGTGAGCTCTACCCTTAGGAGTGACTTCATCTTGGATGGGTGACTGGTGGTAGGAAGTGGGTGGATACGTTCCAAGGAGTCATTTCCATTCAATGCTGGCTTACCTTTCACTTCTGGTGAGTGCATAGTGGTGGAGGAGTATCACAGAAGTCACAGAAATCACAGTTATTACTTGTCACTACTGGTTCACATCACTCTTTGGACTATTTTTTGGTCAAGTTTTTTGGGACATACTACAGTGAATTACATTAACGTTCTTGCCATTCATATGTTGGACGTTTATTATTGGTCATTTTTCATCATTTTGTTACACTATAATATTGTATTTCATTGTATTTCATTTTTATATATCAGCCCTGCACCTTTTGTTGATATGTTTTCATAGTGGGAGCGGAGGGTTTGCCACATTGTGCCAGCTGCTTCCTCTTTTTTCCTTTTGCGTTCACTGTTTACATTTTTTATTAAAAAAAGAATTATGCTTTGCATTCATTCATAACATGCAAAGCTTTCTCTTAGTGAAATGTTTGCTGAGCCGACCTCCTGTGTTCAGAGTGCAGCAGGCTAGTCGCTTAGCTGGGGAACCAGAAGCAATTGGAGATCAATGGAGTCGCAGTTTGATTTCACTGAATGCCTGCTTCCAGGGGCATCGGTCAGGTATAGTATATGCATAGTTACATTAGTCCAAGCTGGACCATTGTAACATGTATAAAATATCCATACCTGGAATTCTTTTTTTAATTCGTAATGTGTATAATATTCACCTTGTATGCATACATTGTTATTAAGTGTGCAAACTGTTTATGTATAATTATTTATATGCTGTTATTATTTTTATACTCAGTATAGATCTGAGTCTGTTTTCCATGGTAAGGATGAACTCTTTACCAGCTAGCAGTCACATTAGTTGTCACCACTGATATGAGTTAAAGAATATGTTACTCCAACATATCATATTCCTGAAACGTGCCTGTTGCACCATGTATTTGTGTTAAAAAAAAGTATCCTGTTTTCTTGGTATTTCTTCCTTTGCGCAAAATACCTGGTGATCCTGCCAGTCCCTCTGCTTTCCTATTTCAAAAACTTACAACGCTAGGCCTAGAAACACATGCTTCCCAACGTGGTCAGCTTTCTGGCTGTGCTGGGGGAAAAGCCTGCCTGTCCTCCAATGGTTAGACTTGTGCTGACATATCTTGCCTTTGCATAGCTGTAGCACCCTCCTGGATTGATTACTAGGATGATTAGGTAAATTTTGTTCTTTTTGTCTCCTCTGAAATCATTGGAGCAGCTTGCGAAGGCAAATTAGCAGCCTGAATATTTATGCTGTCTCAGCCAATCCCTGGGAGAGAGTGCCCAGTCGACTGAACTATCGGTCGACTTCTGTTCAACTGCTGTGTCGGATAAAAGCTGCTTGATCTGCAGCTGCAGCTCTGATCTGTGTATTCTGGTAGTGAGGGAGACCCCCTGCTGTCAGAATAGAACAGTGCAGTGAAGATGATTCCCACATCCACCTTGGATGTGTAAATGGGGGGAATCGGTTCAGTTCTTTTGTTCAGTGTGCTGGCTGAAAGGAAAGGCTGAACCATGTATGGCCCGCTTTAGTGTGTAATTCAGAGGGGACAGATTGAGTTTCATCTCAGTGCAAGCTGTTCAGAGTAGCTTGCAGTTTTCTCAACTGCTGCTCCAAACACCTGAAAAGGTAACAAATATTTTTCAATGATTTTTAGGTATACTCTGTAAATGGGAACACATAACAAACATATAGAGGGGTTTTCTCAGATTTGAGTGCAGAAGTGGAAATACACATTATAGACAATTTCTCTAAATGTACTTATTGTCGCAGTTTGAACATAAAGCCAAAAAAAATTGTTCAGCGCCTACAGATTTGCATTTTTTGTATTCCAGCCATTCAATTTATTCAAAAGCCTTTTGACTAACAAACATTTTGCTTACCTGTTGACCACAACACTGAATAGCCTCATCTAAGGCAGAAATGTACCACTAACATGTATTGTTTTCCCTTTGTTCAGCTCCAGAGCAAAGTTTGGAGGAGACACAAGCTCCTGACTTGAAACCTGCTGCTGAGGACATTTGTGATTCTCCATTCCGTCAGCCTTCTCACTCATTTTCTGAAGTGTTTGATGAAGACAAACCCATAGCAAGCAGTGGTGCTTACAACTTGGATTTTGTTGCCAATGACTCAGCGGATGTCATTTCAGCATCCTCAGAATCCTCTGGCAAAACCCGTCGCAAATCCACAGACTCTGTGCCTACCAACCGAAACACTTTGTCCCGCTCACTTAGCTTGCAGGCTGCTGATTTCCAGCTTGATGACGTGTTGAGCGGCCAAGGAGGATCTGACAGTGCCTCCAATACTCTTCGCAGGACTAAGAAGGCAAGGCCTGCATCACTAAAGAAGAAGGCAGCAAGTGCTAAAAAACAGACAGAGGCTGTTAGCGCCAAGGACACTCAGGCATTGTCAGCAGAGCCACAGGAAGCAGAAGAATCCAAAGAATCAAAAGATCTTCAGATTCAATCTGTTCCATCACCTCCTCCAACAGATACAGAGCAGCCTTTAACAAGAGAGCAGGAAACACAGCCTGTTTTGTCCTTAGAGGCTACCTCTGTGGATCCCCAGCTGAGCAGCGTCACAAGTGCCCCTGTCATTGATTCTTGTCCTGTGCAAGTAACAGGAAGAGTGTCCCCACCATTGCCTACCCACCAAAAACTTGAGGTGGCCCCGGGAGACCCTGAAGTACCAGAAAGCCCTGCTGTGGTTGGGCAATCAGTGAGGCTGGAGTTCGATTATTCTGAGGAGGCACGGGAGGGTCAGCCTCCTGTAAGAAAAGGCAAAAAACCTTCAGGCAAAATGCCTCTACGAAAACCTAAACCTAAAAAGGCAGTTGAAAAGCCTGATGCTCCACCTGGGCCTCCCAGTTCCATTACAGATGCTGATGAAATTCCTATTGGTAAAGGATCATATACATATAACATGGACCAATGGGATGATCCCAACTTTAATCCCTTCTCTTCCAATATGAAAATACAGGATCCACCACACACTACTCAAGAATCACCTGAACCGTGCAAACCCATTGTTCAGAGATCAGAGTCGCCTGCAAAAATACCAGCTTCCTTTGAGATTCCAACAAACGATGCCGAACAGAATGGGGAGAGCAATAAACCAGCCAAGAAGAAGAAGACTCCGTTAAAAACGTAAGTCACGTCTGTTCTCTAGAAATGTTATACACATATATACAGTATGTCTACTTTGTCAGCAGTGGCAATTGCCAAACTGTACCTTATTTTTAAGGACAGTCCCTGGTTTTAAAGATTGTGAAATGCCCTGGTTTAAAACTCTGTTGTACATTATCCTAAATCTACAGTTTTTTCCAGAATGTTCCATTCAAATCATATTGTCCAGTAATATTATTTTGTCTGTTGTAATTAAAGCCTATGTTTAGTCGCCAATAAAAAAAAAACAAAAACCAGCACAAGGGACATTACTTGCAGTCCATAGGATGTGCTGCGGGCTCTAGAATTAGCTGAAATCTTCCTCCTATGATCCCTTCCCTACCCCGCCACCGTAATCATCCAGTGTGGCGGAGGTTATTAGAGCCAAGGAACCTTTCAAATGCACTCTTCTATTCATAGTAGCTGAACTATAGCTTCCATGATAAAAAGTGACCTATGAATGAAGGACAAGTGGTGAAAAGTGAAAAGCCTACCTCCTCCATTCATAGGTCATGTTGTATCCATAGAAGCTATAGTACAGCTTGGAGAATGGAGGAGGGGCATGGGAAGGGAGGTCTTAGTTGGCACCTGTGATGAGTACCTGTCACAGGTCTGTCAGCTCTAAGCCCTGCCACAATGGAAGATTACGGTGGTGGGGTTAGGTTGTATTGGCAGCTATGCCACATTAATAAGTCACACTTGTGTTAGAAAGGAGAAGAGTGAGTTACATGCTCTTCATACCTCAAATTCCTTTGAGCTGTGTGTGTGTGTGTGTGTGTGTGTGTCTTCACTCCAATCAGTTCTTAGAGCTCTCCTCACTGAGCTCTACAGTGTGTAATTTCAGCTCTCTGCCCCCATTTTTCTGAACTCTCAGACAATCTTTACAAATCTGATACTTTGAACGGAGAGAAGAGAAGACTGCAGATAGACAGGTACAACTTATGTAGAATGATTTATGTTTTTATAATTTCTTTAGATTCTAAGGTTGAATTGTGCATATTTAAGATGTTGGCCAGAGATGCTTGTTTCATCCATTGGTGCCAGGTTTTACATCACTAACCATACTTGTTAATCATTAAGGCCCCTTTTACCATGGTGGACTCCGCCAGTGGGATCTGCCTGCTTAGCGTGTCTGCTGAACCCTGCTGAACAGATGGATGGTAGGTCCATGTCTGCTCTGCCTATGGAGAGTGGACAATGACATAGGCTTCTGTCTTCTATGGGTGGTCAGATGTAAAAGGACCGCCTGACCACCCATAGAAGACTGTAATCCGATCAGATCCGCTGGACGGATGGGAAATGGATCCCTATCCGTCTGTCTTTAGCGGATAGGATCTGATCGGATGCAGGCAGGCAGGTGTAAGCAGACACGTGTCTGTTTACACCCACCTCTCCATAGAGGGCAAAGGATGGTCCGATTGGGTCCTCATGAAAAACGGACAAGTGGACCTGATCAGTCCGCCCATGTGAAAGGAGTCTAAACTTACATCGTGTGTGTGTCATGCCCCTGGCAATGATACTTTGTGACAATCTTGGGAGAAGTGAACACATTGCTCTCATAGAGGGTAGCAGTGAATTGGACCAAGATCAGATCCAATGCAGCCTGATCATTCTACTCCAGCAAAATGCAGCATTGTTCTGTATAGAGAAAACACAGCGAAAGGTTTTCTTTTCCTGTCTTGTATTCTTTACATTCTTATTCACTCTCAGTAATACAGGAACTAGAAAAATCTTAATGTAAACATTTCAAAATCAAGTTTAGTTAGAGCTAATTGAAATCATGTTTTGCCTTGGGAGAAACATTTTATTTTAAGCACATGGATTTCCTATAAGATAGACTATCAGAGGGCACTGTCTTATTTTGTGCCAAAGTGTACTGTAGGTTAATTCCCTGGTCTGCAGAGACAGGATAGTATAAATAATCTGGGTTTAGATACATAAAACAAAGCTTTGTACTTTTCTTTAATACAGTGCTTGTCAATTCCACAGGCAATATAATACATAACTTTTTAAGTAGCAGGATACAAATAAACCCCTGCCGTATTGACTGTATTTTACAGCTGTATAGTTTTTCTACAACACTCATTTTTGTACTTTATGTGGCTGCATGAAAAAGCCAATTTTTGATGAGCTATACATTAACATAAGTAGACTGTAAAGAGCAAAACTAGTGACATGCATACACAGACAAGAGCAAAGGGATGACCTCAGCATTGGGCTTTCTGCTCCTTTATTGCCCAATATTCAGGATAGGGAAGGAGAGGAAACTAAAGAAGCAGTTGTCTTCTGTAGTCACCAGTCAGGTGAGTTAAAACCAATATCCTAATTTCAGGGGAGGAGGGTGTTTAACTGTTCACAAAGCAGATTCCTGCAATTTTAGGAGATACAAATATGTGTAGAGAATATAGTGACGTTCAGTCTGCTTATATTTTTCAGCTCCTCACCCCCCTAACCCCATTAACATGCTAATGAGATTTTAAAAATTATTTTTTGTATTATATACCTTATTTTAGACTCTGTGACGTCATCACTGGGTCTCTGTGCTTCTCTAAGTAATGCAATATACATATCTTCCTGAAAACATCACTACACCCTGTCTTTTGATTCCTTAGCCCTGATGCAAGTAGTAGGCTGACCTCTGGGAGAAATTATGAAAATATCAAAATGTCTTGATGGGTGGGTGTCATTCTGGATTAGTGAGCATTCATAAACAATCTGCATTGGCCTAGAAATGGCTTAGATAATGGCCACATGCTGGGCCTCGATAATTGAAAGAACTGAAATGCAATGAATGAATGGGGAGGGCCAAGGACAAGCCATGCCGGGGAGTAAATGAGTTAAGATGATCTATCTGACCTGCTTCTCAGAAGCTCACAGTGTGCAGTGAAATCATAGTAAGTCATTTCAGTGCAGCACAGGAGCCTGTGCAGGACTAAAGATCAGGCTGGAGCTCAGCTTTAGGATCCTGAGACTGGTGCTCCACTTGATGAAAATATTATATATTTTTCTGACATGGCGCCACCATGACATTCATATTACAGGACCATCTTACCAACAGCCGATTTAAGTAATGCAAAAGGCATGCTGCTCTTTTATTATGAAAAGTTGGTTACATAGTAACATAGAGAGGTATTAATTATCTTTTATTTTCAGACAAGAAAAACCAGCAATAAAAATGATCTAACCGTCTTGATTAGTTAGCCACTAAAACATTCTATTTAAAGGAAGAGTAATCTTAGGAATGCCTATTTGTGTTTATAGCAAGCAGGGGCTGACTACAGATTGAAGCAGGCCTCAAACTAGTACATTTCTGTGCAGTTGAAAACAAATTGCCAATTTGACCCCACAGTCTGGAAAATTGCATGAACATTCTGAAAACTAACATTTTAGAACAAAATTCTATCAGTGTATGGCTAGTTTTAGTATTTATTTCCAGTTGTGTGCCATCTTATGATTCATTAAAGTCGTAGCCACAAAGTGCAAGAGTCTAGCCAAGACAGCCTCTCCGGGACTATAGAGATGGGAAGCCGGCTTGGGAGCCCTCCTGGTTCATCCAGAGATAGATGAAAATGCTTTCTTACTTTATCTCTGTTATAATACATTTGAGATATCTGCTGATCACCAGCTCATTTTACCAGAAGTTCAGTGCTGCTCTTTAATAAACTGGATTACAAAATATGTTAAGTTTATTTTAAATAAATAATTTTAAAGATTTAGATGGACAGGAATTTCCTGGTGCAAGGTGGAGATTGTGACATTACCGCCCCTTCTCTCTACCTCGCCCATTCAGACACTTTGCATTCGTTGGGGGAATGCAAAGTGATCTCTGAATGGCACTCGTGCCAAATGAGTGACTGCCTGTGTTCACTAAGTAGCAGGCAGCTACTTGGCGTGGGACCCCGGAGCTATCAGCAATCACTGTGACTGCTGCAGTGATTTCCAGCTTCTACAGGGATCAGCCAGGTTGGCCCATGCATACTTAAATTGGTCTAAACTGCATGAATGTAGCTATGAAAAAATCTCTATACCTGGAATTCAGCTGTAATCCTTGTCTATAAAATCTGCCCGAAGTTCTGCTTGGAGCAGTGCATTTTGGCCACCGACTCACCTAGAGCCTGTCGATTGGGCAAAGAGGAAGCATCAACACTCTGATGAAGTCATCACTCTGCTCATTCTGATCTCCTGTTAGTATGTCGCCTGTGATAGACTGACAGTACTGTGTGTTTGAAAGAAAGTCCTGATTGGCTTGCAGTGTTTTCTTGGCTTCTCCCATTCTCCTGCATGGGAGTACAAGAAAAAGATTGTGATGCTTTTATGCTCTGTATGCCTACAAAGCATTTATAAATTCCCTAGATATATATTATTCATCAACCCAGTTAAAATGTAAGTAGATAGCAAAAGTTAAAATTTAAGCAGATAGGCTAATGTGGGAGGATTTGCTTTAGCTTTTTTGGAGCAGTTCCTTCCTGTTAATATGTGTTTGTATGCAGGGGCGGACTGACAACTCATGGGGCCCCCGGGCAATAGGGGATCATGGGGCCCCTGTGTCCTTGCCCAAACTCAGAAAGCCTATGAAAAAGGTACCAGGGGCATCTCATGGGGCCCCCTACTGACCCCGGGCCCTCGGCAGTGCTTGAGTTTCCAAATGGTCAGTCTGCCCCTGTTTATATGTACACAACTCCAGGGGCGCCACATTGAATGTTTATTACACTGCGTACACAGCCTTCTGTCTGTCTCTTTGTCTCTGTGTCTTTAGGATGGTTGAAGATGTCGTGTCTGTCTGTTCTCTCTTGTAAGTAACTTCTCTTCAGCTACATTCCTTTTCTCTGTGTTTCACTCCTTGCTCCTTCTTCACCGTGCATGTTTGTGGTCATGTCTCCTTCCCTTGATATATATCCCATTGTCTCCTGTGCCAGTTGTGGCATGTTATGCTGCATCACACTTGGCAGTATGTGGCTGTATGTGGTGGAACATTTGTAAATATGTGATTGTTCACGGACTGTATATTGCTGTGTGTTCTTATGTGGTGGCTGCTTTATATGTATTATTGGGAAACCAATATAAAATATGTAGCAGAAGCATTGTAGCATCTGGGCAACTATCAGTACAATAGTGCCAGTGGTCACCTATTGAGGCATATAGCAACCTCAGTGGCAGGGTGGTTGCTCTGAATGCCCAATACAGACTCAAGTGGCAAGGTGAATATGTGATACTTTTGCTCCTCATTGTATGCACACTTTGATGTATAAATAATCCCTAGTGCCACATTAAAGTAGAACTATAGGCAAACTTTTTTTTTTTCATTTTGGATAGAGCACAGGTGTCAAACTGGTGGCCCTCCAGCTGTTGCCAAAACTACAAATCCCATGAGGCATTGGAAGATTGACTATTACAAGCATTACTCCCAAAGGCAGAGGCATGATGGGACTTGTAGTTTCTCAACAGCTGGAGGGCCGCCAGTTTGACATCCTTGGGATAGAGCATGGGAGGGATATAACCTCTATCAGATTTTTTTTTTTTTGCCGTCTGTGCCCCATTTCAGAAATTTCCCTTTACTTCCTGTCCCATAGCCAAACAGGAAGTGGGAGCAAATTCCTGCAAATTAAGGGAATTTATTGGGGACCCCCAGGTCACTAGAACTAGTTTCCCATTGGAACATTTCCCCTCTATTACTTTTCTAGGGACAACCCATAATTTGGGATTTTATTTTGTTTTAATTTTCAACAATAATGGTACATAGGACAAACAGAGAGAATGAATCTCCTTAACATGGACACAGACTGCAATACAATCCTGACAGGCATTCTACTCCATCTCCACTCCATCCAAAACTAAAAAAAAAAGTTTTGCCTTTAGTTATACTTTAAGGCATTTTCCCATTTAGGTGGCGTAATGTATATGTAAACCCAAGAATACCATTTTAAAACAGTGCAGCTTACCAATCTTTAGTCCTCATGCACACTGGACGTTTTTACAGCGGCTGTTTTCGGCTTTTGATGGTTTTTTTCTACAGCCAGTAAACTCCACAGCATGTTATCCTATGTATCCATTCACACATAGACTTTTTTTGACTTTGGTGAAAAAAAGTCTAAAAAACGCGGCTAAACGCTAATACAAAAATGGTAAAAAATCTGAAAAACTCATGTTTTTAACGTGACTTTACACAGCTAACGTTACCAGCGTTATTAAAACGCCCAGTGTGCATGGAGCCTCAGATGGTGGTGTCTGCGTTAGTTTTTTTGTCCTAAGGTGATAGCAATCACTGACTGTACTGTATCCATGGAGATGCAATGGTGTCACCTATGGACAGGCAGTGTGGTATATTATATAATCTTTATAATTATTTTCATGTAGTCAAGTGTTGATCTGTTTTTGGGAAGAGAACAATCCTATCTGATTGCTGTTGTTTCTGAAACCCATAGATCACAATTATTGCCTGCTGCTGTACTCTAGTAATAACTAGATAGTGGGGTTGATTTACTTAAACTGGAGAGTGCAAAATCTGGTGCAGCTGTGCATGGTAGCCAATCAGCTTCTAACTTCAGCTTGTTCAATTAAGCTTTGGCAATAAAACCTGGAAATTGATTGGTTTCTGTGGAGAGCTACACCAGATTTTGCACTCTCCAGTTTCAGTAAATCACCCCTACAGTTTCTCTACACAAGAATCTATGGGCTGATCATCTAACATGCACTATCCAGCAGATGGGATGTATGTGTTGGGTTAAAATCAATCAACTAAGGGTCCGACCCATTTAGGAGCCATGATTTATTGGCTTCAACCAGCAGCTAATTATGTTCTGTGTTTTCAGCTGGAGAGACAGACAAAAATGTAATGGATGTGATATTCATTTACTGGCTAACTGAAAATGAAAACAAACATTCAGTATCTGTGGACTCTGGATCAGTGTTCATTCATTAGTTAAATGTAAGATACATATGTGCATGTAGATGTAAAAGCCAAGCTCCATTCAAAGATTTTTTAATAAAGTAGGGAATGGTTAGAAATCATGCAAGATTTTTATTGCATGTCTGTGTTGTCACTGGGGACATTTTTTTCCCTAACTTTTTATCCTGGTGACTCCACAGAAAGTAAAACGCATTAATGGAGACACAGACAGATCTATCTCTTCACCATTCTATTATATAAGAGCTTTATATTGCTGTATGTGCCCCCTTTGGAGAGATTCCTCTATTTTTGTGTGCCAGTAGCCGCACAGAAAGTGAAGGGTTATCTCCCCATTGGGGCAGCATCATACACCTTGCCCACCATTATCCAAATCTATCAACAAAGCTGGACCTGGACTTTAAAGTAAACCTGTGCTCTACCCATGCTCCTTTTTTTTTAAATGCCTGCTTCCCCCAAACTTTTTTTTTTTCCGTTCATACATACTTTTTTCTACTTTGGTCTCCTGGTATGTGCCCCCTTTGGAGAGATTCCTTTATTTTTGTGTACTAGTAACCACACAGGAAGTGAGGGGTTATCTCCCCATTGGGGCAGCACCTTGCCCACCATTATCCAAATCTATCAACAAAGCTGGACCTGGACTTTAAAGTGAACCTGTGCTCTACCCATGCTCCTTTTTTTTTTAAATGCCTGCTTCCCCAAAACCTGTTTTTTTTGTCCTTTTTTCCATTCATACATACTTTTTTCTACTTTGGTCTTCTGGTCAACCACATGAGGTCCTCCAGTCTACTTCCTCTTACTCTTGCAGCGCTGGTCAATCCTTAATACTGCAATCATTGTACCATGAGCCCAGGATGACATGGTGATGCACCCCAAAAGGGGTATGTTCATGAAAGCCTGGGCTCACAGGAAGAGGATTTAATAACTCTTTACCATCATTCAACATAAAGAGAATTGGCAGTAAAAAAAAGAGTTTCTGTCGATGACAATAGTGGGCACAACGTGAATATTTTTAAAACATTTTTTATTACAATTGAAGTTTTGCTTTAAAGTCCAAATTATTTATTTATTTATTTTTTTGTATAATCAATTTTTATTAAGGTATTTCAAAGAAAAAAAACAATGAAATACATTTACAGTAGAAGAATTTTGACTATCAATTCAGAACAAGATTCTGGTAAAAAAAATTCATGAGATACAACCATTACAATATCACTGAGGGTAATATAACCAGTAGTTTAGATTTGTTACAAGTTATCAAAGATCACGATTCCAGGACATATGCATCAAATCATATAATCAACGGATTGATTTATAACTGTATTGAGGTCAGGTTGCATGTATATTATAAATATGCTGCTATTTGACTTTTTTATCTCGTAAGTACTGTAGTAAGGGTTAAAATAGGGTTGATTAAAGCAGTGTTTAAGTCCTCATGACGTTTTTACAGCGGCTGTTTTTGACTTTTGATGTTTTTTTTTTCTTACAGCTAGTAAACCCCCCAGCATGTTATCCTGTGTCCATGCACGCATAGACTGTAATCAGCGTTTTTTTGGCAGGGGCGTTTTCTGGCTGGATAAAAACCCCAGAAGTAGTGGGTTTCTAGAGGAGTTTTTTAGCTGTAAAAACTTTCAAATGCTGAAAAACATGGTAAATCATGACACACCATCGTTTTTGGACCTTTTTTTAACTAAAAAAAATTTTTTATTTTTGCTAAAGAAAACTGTAAAAAAAAAAAAAAAAAAAAAAAACGTCAAAACGCCACTAAATGCTAATACAAAAACACTACAAAATGCTGAAAAACTCACGTTTTTAACGTGACTTTACACAGATAACTTTACCAGCGTTATTAAAATGCCCCGTGTGCATGGAGCCTAAGGGGTTGTGTCGGACTGCTGGAGAACAAGTTTGCTGCTTTCACAGCAGCGGTCCAACTCTCTTCTGTGCTACACCACAGTGTATTCTTTATTCTTGCTGCATACTTAGCAGCTGAAAATTAGAGTAGAATATAAATTACTGTAAAAAGGAAAAGAGCAGCACAGTTTTTGCTGTATGTGCAACCTGACTACATTACAGTTATAGATGTAGAGGGTTGAAATGGGCTTTAAGAATATACACAGTAGTGTATATTCACAGAATATACAAAGTAGTGTACATTAGTAGTAGAACAACTAATCCGCTGCTATCTTTTATTATCTAACATGCACCAAGAACACAAAACAGGAAGGCTGTTTTCTATGGCCAGTGCCTTCCTTCCTGATTTTATTTTGTTAATCATACTGGACATATAAAGGAATGTCTAAACTAGGAGAAAGCAGTTCTGAATGTATGCCAGTTTTCATTTTATTTCTTAGTGTAACCAGGTAAATGCAATATCCATGGCATTTTGTCTGAACGTAAATCTAGAACAGTGGTCTCCGAACTGAGGCCCAAGGGCCACATTTGTTTGCCATTATGTGGCCCTTGGGGCACTATTTCTCCCATTGATACCAGTCAGTATTCGTCAACACTGACAACGATGGGGTACTCTTCTTCCCACTGACAACAACAATGGGGCATAATTCTTTCCACTGGCACGATGTGGCACTATTTCTCCCACTGATAAGAAGCATTATGCCTCAAACTGGCACCAGCGATTTGGACTCTGCCTTCCAGAGACAACAGTAATGGGGCCCTATTCCTCCTATTGATACCAGTGATGGGGCACTATTTCTCCCACTAATACCAATGAGCAGGCATTAGTTATGTTCATTGACGTGGAGCCATTTTCTACTCCTACTGGTCCCCCTAAATGTCTGAAGGACAGTAAACTGGCCCTTTTGAAAGATTGGAGACCCCCTGTTCTAGAAAATACATAGATTTCTGGCATGGAACCTGAGCTACATGCAGATTACCACCCTGCTTTGTCCAGATGCCATCACATTGTAGCTAAAGGCTATAATGAAACTGCATGTTATTTTGTGAAGTCGTTACAAGTAGATATGCAAAATAACTTGTGACATCATACATTTCACACTGCGAATATCATTTTGTTGTACTGACATGCTTTCTGTTCTTTTTCAGTGACACATTTAGGGTGAAGAAGTCACCAAAACGCTCCCCGGTTACTGAAAATGGCTCTGAGGTTTGTATGAGTCAAGTGAGTGATGTTTTTCAGTAGTTTACAATGTGCATTCTATGTGTTCTCTATTATAAATTATTTCAATATATTATTTAAAGGTTAAAGAGACCCTGTCACCAGACCATTCATTTCAACAAACTTTCAATATGATTATATGTGCAATGTATTTTAGGCATGTTTTTTACCTGTAAAAACCTCCCTTGCACTTGCATAGGCATCCAACATGTTTAAGATTGTTGCTGGACACTGTCATCTCAGATGTGATGTCAGGTGAGCAGACTCAGAGCTGTCATTTCAATTAAACTCTATAGTATTCTCCTAGGTGCCTCCCCCAGGAGCCACATGAAAGGTTTTGTAGGGTAGTGAGGGGAGGGGCAGAGGAGCAAGGTCAGCACAGACAGTAATTAGACATTCCCAGAAGAGGAGAGAGCTAAGACGTGCAAGGTGGGAAAGGGCTGTACTAGAGAACTGATTAGACAATTTTCCTAGCAAATTCAAAGCCACATTGAAAGAGAATGAATAATCATATATGGAAAAAAAACCCGCGAGTGAATGTTTAAAGTATTATTATTTTTTGTTTACATGATTGTGTTCAAAGTGAATTTATACAGTATTGACTGAGGGGGGCTGGGGGAAATTTGCCTTTAATAAAGCAACTCCTTTGTTGGAGGCCATGAAGATTTTCTTGATCACTAAGTGATTATAAAGAATGGCTGACATTTACTATTATCCATTTACTGTATGAAACCTCCACAGTAACCATTACATTTTGATTATTTCTCATAGTATATGTCAGACATTGCAAAGCATACGTCAGCTACATTATTTTACAATTTCAGGGTAGAGTATAGAAGGCTTAGAGAAGCTCTGCTAGGTTTATTGGCTGTCTGTCTCCCCTTTAGGCTAGGTTCACACTTGTATGGCTCTGCGAGCCGCCTCTTGTGCGGGCACAGCAGCTTATTCATTTGAATGGCCTGTTGTGCCTCCCAAAAAATGCAAGGAAAAGGTCTCTGCACCATTTTTGAAAACACATTCATATTTATGGAAACCGCAAGTGCATTAGGTTTTCAGTGTATGGGTGTGTCATTAGGATTAGTGGCACCCCCCATGTATGTGCTGAGCGACAGCACATTTTTCTGTGCAGGTGGTTCTGGCTGCAGGAACAGGTGTGGTCCAACAATGGCAATCACTAGTACAGGTGTGAATCTAGCCTAAAGCCAGCCATACATGGGTTAAATTCCAAAAGAATTTTCTTTAGAAAATCTTTTCTAAGACTTTTCATTCAATTTTCGCATAATTAGTGGGCCACAGTAATGCCTGATTTTCGAGCGCGACCATCGAATTTGAGTGATTGGTCATGCTGGAAATTTTTTGAAAAACAAACAAATTTCTAATCAATGTTGGGAGAAACGCACAAGAAATGTAACTGAAAAAGAAATGAGCATGAGCTGTGACTTGGAATGAAAAGAAAATTCTTGGTCTTGAAAATTCTTTTCTGTAGCAACATGTGAAATTAAAGGTTTGGTTGGTCGAATTTTGAAATCAATGGTGGCACAATCGGATTACAAAATGCACAAAATTTCCGATTTTCCACGAAAATTTGTTCAGAATTTGACCCATGTATGGCCTGCATAAGGGAGATTTTTCTTCATTTCCTGTGGGTTTTCTGGATAGGAAGTGATAGCAGATCTCCACACTAAAAGAACCTCTTGTTGTAGAGTGGGTGAATAGGTTAGAACCACTTTTAGGAGATTATTTGCAGTCTGCGCCCTTTGGGGAGATTTCCATCAATTTCCTCCATGTTTGGCAGAACAGGCATTGAGGAGAAATATCCTTCAATGGGGGAGCTCAGACAGTAACAAAAAATTATTGTATATACACTCTGTACAGGCATAGCAAAACAGGCGTTGGATGTTTATAAAGTTTATTATTACATTGCTCTGAAGTGCAGCATTGGACTTGTTTGAAAAGGGAAGTTATAGTATATTGCAGCCAATGTGTTCTACTTTACTCTTGAATCTCCTTGTAGGAGCTGACAGTACTCTCCAAGTCAGACACCCTCCCTGTGATAGCCTCTGAAGATCACGCCACTGATGAGGAGAAGCTAGCCTCTTCTGTTGGTAGCCAGAAGTGGACCTGCATGGCAGTGGATTTGGAACCAGACAAACAAGACTATCCCCAACCATCTGACCTGACCAGCTTTGTCAATGAGAATCAGTTTCATTCTTCCACAGATGGTACTGCTCTGTACAGATTTCCCTACACGTATTGCTACATATCACATGATTGACTTGAAAACCTCTTTGCTGTTTTACATCCAACAAAGTGCATGTAAAACAGACAATAACTTTTATAGCTAGTCTTGTCAGACTCCATGTTACTTGTAAATAATGTATATACATTGTGTAATATATAAAAACTTAGACAAATGTAAAGTACAACCCTTTACCATAGCAATTGTTGACTAAATGGCCAATCAGTCATGTGTGAGCTTATTTGGTCTATCCCTAAATCAAATATGCATTCTCATTGGTATGTATGGGTACATGCCCATCAATTTTAACCAAAATGCTTATCCAGAGGAAGGCAACATAACACCATAATGCAAAGTTTTAATTTCTTCTAACAGGGAAAAAAATATATACTTTTTATTCCCAAAATGTAATTGGATAACCATCTGGATAAGGTCTATATATTTTGTGGGATAGCCATTAAATTTTTCACTCCTTAATATGAATATTTTTACTTTTTTATCCGTCACAGATATAGATTTTGGAAGCTCATACAGCATTGAATACATGGAGAAAACCGGCAAATGCTCTCCAGTAAGTCCTGTTTATTTAATACATAACATATCATGTGTAGTTTGAGTAATCTCTGTTAGCATTTGCATTTTTTTGTTATTACTTGGAGTATTTTCAAGCTTCTGAAAATTTATAATAAAAACATGCTGGTTTTAAACACTCCATGATTTAAACCATTCCTCAAATCTGACCATACTTGGTCAAAACCAGCTAGTTTGCTAGGCTTGATCCCCTCAAAAGTCCCAAAAGTTCCACAAATTCTAGTAAAATAGGCTCTGGAGTGTGTGACTTTGATTTGACATTCATGTGATTTTACACCCTCTGGGACTCAAGTCACAAGGAAGTTACATCAAAGTAGTACTGGAACCTTTTTATTGGTGCTGTGATTTTAAGTCGCATATATTGGAACGGGTGCCATTGAAATCAATGGGCGGTGACTTGTCATGCGACTTTATGTGTCCAATGTCACATGGCAGGATGAACTATTGTGAATGGAGACTTAAAGGATAAGTTCACCTTTTAGACAAAAATAATAAATGCACATTTTTGCTGGTAAAAAAAGCCTGGAAAGCATTACACCAGCGATGAGTAGATTGCTGATGCCATGCAGGCCTCCTGCAAACCTGTCAATGTATCTACTTGCCGTACGGGATGTACAATCAAGCAGATATTCTGACAGGAAGCTTCAATGAACTACCACGGAGCTCCACAGCGCTGTGGTAGTTCACTGAAAATTACAAGCCGACAGCCGCTAAGGCTGCCGGGACTTGCAGTTCATTCATTCACGGAAGTCTGGGAATGATGCGGCCATGTGGGTGGAACCCCACATGGCCACTCTGTTTACAAATTTGACAGATGGGGAGAAGTCTTCAAGTACTATCTGTCAGAGGGAGGGGGCAGCGGACATAAGAACATGTTAAATGTTCCACCCTAAAAAACGGGTGGAACATGTAACATGTTCCCAAAGGTGAACTTATCTTTTAAGGCCAAATACTGATTCGCTAGTACTGTGGATGAAATTGTACATACCTGCTAATGTGAGCCGTCTGCTTTCCCCAAGCTGGTATAACCAAGAGGGCTTCCATAAGGATTCTGTCAGTATTACAGCCAGTTACAGTAGATGTCATGAAACCTCCAGAGATACAGCAGAAGGATTGGGCAGAAAATAGTTGGAGTTAAAGTGATTGTAAACTCTTACTTTTTTTTTTTTTTTTTTTAAAATAAAAAACAAGTATATACTTACCTACCTTGTACAAGGGAATTGCACAGAGCGGTCCAGAATCTCCTTTTCTTGGGTCCCCTGCCAGGGCCAGCGCTCCTCCTCTTCTTGGTGTGCCACCATATTAAGCGGCTTTCTATTGTGGCACACCTGCATGCTTGATTCCAAGCCCTGTGCCCTGTGTCTATTGATGAAGACAGCGGGGATCGGCCCTACCGTCCCTCCCGTCACAAGATTTGACTGACAGCAGCTGGAACCAATGGCTGAAGCCACACAACAAAGCCTATGAGCGCAGGGAGAAGAGGAGAGAGCTGTTGCAGATGTGCACATCGCTGGATCTAGTGAGGGCGCAGTTAAATATTGGGGTGTGAGGGGGCGATACTAAAACCTAAACATTTTATATCTTAATGCAAACACTGCATTAAGGTAAAAAATGTTTACGCTTTAGAACCACTTTAAAGATAGATGTTGGACAGGGCAGGAAAAACTACCACGTGGATGGCAAAGAGTGGCTGAAAATTGTGTAGAGAGAGCTAGAGAATAGATAGAGTGCCTCAAATCAGAGATGACTGTGCTGGAGGATGACATCATTGGTTTAATGAAGTGGCCTTGAAACACCCTGCACCATAAGGCAAGTTAAACTGTTTCTTGAATTTAATAAAGTTGAACTTCGGCCACAAAAACTTTCATTTAATTGCATTTCTAATTAGTCACAAATCCACTTTGTGTGTACAAATACCTTTGCAAACCCACATAATACCTTGTATAAGGAATGGTGACATCATCACTGTGCTGTACATAGCTTATGTAAGGAGCAGAGCTATTGGAGGGACCCACAGCACAGGCTGCCTGCAGAAAACTATGGTAGAGGGTGGAGACAAGACTAGTCACCCTGTACAAGGTGAGAGAGCAGCAGTGATCGGTCTTCATTACAGGAAGTTCCTACGTGAAGGCAGTTTCTCACTGGATTACTGCACAGATCTATTATTATTATTTTTATACAGGATTTATATAACACCAACAGTTTACGCATCGCTTTACAACATAAGTTCTAGATGACATATGCAAAGCAAAGAAAGATTGAGCCTGGGTTCACACTTCTGCGGTGTGACATATCGCACGTGATTTACACAGGAACCGCACCGCATTCCTGTGCAATTCACATGCAAATTCTGTGCAGTGCGATTTGAGCCATACATTTTGTATGGCTCAAATCACACCGCTTCCACACCCAATAGGTACAGGACCCTTTCTTTCGTCCGTACTAGAATCGGATCACATGGTTATTCATACTCATGCGATACAATTCTACACATCATGCCGCGTTTTGTGAACAGATTATGGGGTGTTGTTAACTTAACATACACACTTGCAGCAGTTCACATGAACAGGGTGCGATTATGATGCGGTGCGGAATTTGCACAGAAACCGCTGCAAATTCTGCATCGCACCCGTGTGAACCCAGCTAAAGTAAGAATACACATGCCGGTTGTATTTAGACAATATTTGCTTAGACTGGAGTTCAGCTTTAAGGAGTTGGGGTTCCCAGAGCAGGATTGTAGCAGTTGGATGGGCCGATGCATTATAGCAGCAGGATAATGCAATGAACCTGCAGACTCTGTCCCCTTTATGGTGGGCCCTGTAAACATGTTAAAGGGGACTTAAGGTTAAATTTCATTTAGGTCCGCCTCTTCTTCTTGCTTTTCCCGGCAAAATAAATTAATAAAGCTACGAGCTCCTTACTATAGAAAGAATTTGGCTCAACATATGCTTTAATACTTATTTATTTTTTTATTGGAACATTGAAAGGGAATGGACCAATTTTTGAATTCAGATCCATTTTTCTAAGTACAATAGTTACCGTGCATTTATTTAATCACATTTTGGAGCGAATCAAAAAGGCACTTATAAATAAGATGTGTAATTCTTGTGATTCTAATGACATTGAAGTCGGGAAAGTTGCTATTTTCCATATGAAACCTATCAATGACATTATTCTCTCAAATGGCAACGCGGAGAATGTACATTATGCTTATAAAATATGTCCTTGAACACGCAATGTTCATAAAAAATGGGAAGTACAAATCCTGCCATTCATGCTGTAAATCTGCCTGCATACATTATAAACTATAAATTTATTGCAGAACTCTCCTCTATAACAATGCATCAAAGTGTGTCATTAAAATAAAGCTATATATAAGTAAAGTCATTACTCAGGGTGTGTTTGGTGTATAACAGCAGCCTAAATATTATAGAGTTTGACTCATTCTGACACTGTCATTGTAATGTTTCCACAGCTCCGGGATGTGCCTCAGCCCCAGTCTCTGTACCTCATGTTTGAAGCATCACAGGACAGCCCAGGAAAATCTCCTGCCAAGTTTTCAGAGTCTTGCACCCCAGGGACGGAGTAAGTAGATCAGCAGCACATTGTGGTGTATAGTTGCAGTCAAATTTGGTTTGCAAATGAGAGGCCAACTGGTCTGTACAGGATGTGCAAAGCTGCCAAGGTAATGTCAGATATGTTGTGCTTATATCCTAATTATCTGTAATCTTTTCATCAATCCAGCTTTGATACAATGGAGTCTAATATATGCTCAGGACAGCTGCCCCTCTCCAGATCCCCACCCATTATGCAGGACAGTACACGGCAAGCCCTGGAGAGGTCCCGGCCCAGAGATGATGAGCCAGAGGTGATTGGGAGTGGAAAAATGGAACTGGTGAGGAAGTGTTTATGTAAATATTCAGATTCCAAAATACATAATCAGAACATTACCTAAAGTGGGTTCCAAGAAAAAAAATTTGTTTTTGCTTTTTAGGGTTATGAGCTTCTGAAAATTATAACACCATACTGCGAATTTATAAACCATCTCTACCCAAAACCAATATATCAGTTAGAGTTGGGTACTGGTCAGTTGGTTCACCCGCTGTCTAAGATTTTTCAAAGATTCCAGTGATGGAAACTGGGTCTCAGCTGACTCACAGGAAGAATGTATCTCTATTTCAATTAGATTTTTTAATTATTTGATTATCCTACAATATGGAGAATTGAATAGGCAATTGTGATACCATCATTGGCTTTGTAATGGCAAGAGCAGATGGACATAATTGGGAATTGTGATAATATTTCCCAGTTAGAGTGATATAAGAAGTTGCATTAGTGATAACCTTTAAAGTGATTCTAAAACCTTAAGGTTTTTACCTTAATGTATTCTATGCATTAAGGTGAAAAAACGTCTGTACTGCAGGGTCCCCCCCCCCCCCCCCCATACTTACACCCCAGCCCGATCCCAACCCAGTGATGTGCACAGGAGCAGCAGCTCTCGCTATTGTCTCCTTTCTCACTGCACCATTGGCTCCTGTTGCTGTTAATCAAATGCTGTGATGAGGGAGCAGGTGGTGGGGCTGAGCCTTGCAGACAGGGTGGCTCAGGAATGAGTATGCACAAGTGCCCCCATAGCAAGCGGCTTGCTATGATAGCACTAACCAAAGAGGAGGAGCCAAGAACGCCAGCGGGGGACCCCAGAAGAGGGAGATCGGGGCTGCTCTGTGCAAAACCATTGCACAGAGCAGGTAAGTATAACATGTTTTATTACAAACCGCCTTTTACTTCTTCATTCTTAATCATCACCTTTTATGTGCCAAAAGTAGTGAAACCCTCCACCAGATATGCTCTTACCTGGGGTATATGACCAAACCGTTAAGTGAGGTCATATAATGCTTGTGTCCTCTCTCAAAGGACTAATATAATGATTCCTCAGTGTGTCACATGATTCCACTTCTAAATTGGTTATACACTGCTACTTAATATTTCCTTCATCCCACACTTCATTCCTCCTCAGCCATACATATAGAAAGAGAAATCGCCATACATAGTGTTTTATCACACCATCAAAGGATTATGAGCGTTGTGACGTCAGCAAGCCTCTTCCCTGCGCGTTATGCCACAGGGTCATGTGGCTTCATCAGGGGAATCTCATAAGATCTGCTTGCATATTGTGTGGAACAGTGTGGTGCGCTATAGCACCAATTACACGTGAGTGCAATACTGGGAGTTTTGTTTTTATGGTAAATAAAGTTTTTATACGGATAAAACGCTATGTATGGCGATTTCTCTTTCTATATGTATGGCTGAGGAGGAATCAAGTGTGGGATAAAGGAAGTATTAATAAGCAGTGGAATCATGTGACATGCTGAGGAATCATTATATTAGTCCTTTGAGAGAGGACGCAAGCGTTATATGACCTCAATTAACGGTTTGGTCGTATAGCCCAGGTAAGAGCACATCTGGTGGTGGATTTCACTTAGTGGTGCACCAAAATGAAAATTCTGGTGCCGAAAACGAAAATTCAAAATGCACTTGGCCAAAAACTGACACCGAAATGTGCAGTTTTTAAAAACGAATATATATTTTTGAAAAAAAATACACTGATTAAAAAAAACAAAAAAAAAACAATATATACCCCAATTTTTTTGTAAAATATGAAAGAGGATGTTACGGCAAGCAAATAGATACCCAACATGTCACCTTTTAAAATTGCGCACGCTCGTGGAAGGGCATAAAACTGTGGTACTTAAAAATCTCAATAGGTGATGCTTTAAAAATTTCTACAGGTTAGCAGTGTAAAGTTACAGAGGAGGTCTAGTGTGAGAATTATTTCTCTTGCTCTGATGTTTTTTTTTTAATGTAATGGGGTTTTTTGGGGGTTTTTTTTTTGCACTATCCCTTTAAAAAAATGTTATATTGCTTTTATTCTTATCACAAGAAATGCATGCATCTCTTGTGATAGAAATAATTAGTGACAGGTCCTCTTTATGGAGAGATGTGGGGTCAATAAGACCCCACATCCCTTGTCTACAATGTAAAGCATTAGATCAAAAAAAGCATTGATCTAGTGCTTTAAAAAAAAAAAAATGGCCGGTACGGAAAGTGACATCCCTCCTGTCCACCAAGGGCATAGAGATGAGTGGCGGCCATCTCTCCTTCACTCATCTCTATGCCCAGCGCCAGGATCGATGGTTTCTCAGGTAAGGCCGAGAACTACCGAGCGGCAGGCGGTGGCAAGGGGTGGGTTTTTTTTCAGCACCTGTATTGGTGCTCTTTTTCATTTCGGCCAAAAGGGGTGTTTTCGGCCGAAACATTTCGGCCACCGAAATTTCGGTGCATCCCTAGTTTCACTATTAACAGTACTTTTGGCACATAAAAGCTGATGATTAAGAATGAAGAAGTAAAAGGCAGTTTATAACACCATTGTGAAGCACAAAAAAGATATATAATAGGACTTTTTTTTGGACTGCACTATTGTGAAAACTTTTTTGGATGGTGTTCATGTGAATTTTCAAGTACACATTTGATTGTCTTTTAAGAGAAGCACGGCACTGGTGGATGTTATTTTATATAACAGTTTAACACATTCTTCCTGAGGGTGTGAATAGTGTGCATGACCACATGTACAGATTATGTTAATTAGATTTTTGTTGCCATAGTGCTCAAAAGGGTTTGGTAACTTTAAGTATAACATGTTTATTATTGTAAAAAAAACAACTACAAAGGTTTAATGTCACGTTAACAAAAGGCAGCATAGCCTGCATGCTGGTCTTTAAGTAACATTGTTTTTAAAGCTGAACTCTTGGAATTATACAAATTCTAACCTTGCAGTGGTCAAGTCAACCCCCCCCCCCCCATAGACACACTGCAAGGGTTCAATGCTCATTGAGAGGTGCATGGACAGAGTGTATTACTCCCTATCCCTCCCTCTAGCAGCCTTCAATGCTGTCCTCAAGCAAGCTGTAGGTTATGGGTGGGGGTGGGTGGTTCTTCTGTGTCATCCCGTAACTGTGCAAGATTTTTGATCCTGCATTTTTACACACAGAGATGAGCATGTAGTTACAGCCTGGAGCTCCTTAGTATGGACATGGCATTGGACAATTCAGTTGCATAGTTGGAGGGACCTTGCTGGAGCCAAAAGTAAGGTAAGGAATACACCTTATTCCTGCACCTCTAGACTAAATAAGCAGTTACCCTTTGCAGTGTGTGTGGGATGGTGGTGGTGGGGGGGGGCACTGCATAGATACATTTTGTCTAATTCCTTGCATTCGGCTTTAAAGTAGAAGTTCACACAAATACTAACTGTACAAAAACCTGCTCCCACCCCCATCCTAAGCCTATTCTTACTCTCTGTAAAGGAAAGATGTCTATACTTACCCATGCTGTGGGCACTCTGGTCCAGTGACATGATCTCTCCAGCAGCGGAGTTCTGTGAAGAGGAGAGATGGCTGTCATTGTAGGAAATGCCTTAGCGGTTATGTCACCCATAGACTTACTACGGGGCATTTGTTGTCAACTGTCCCTCCTCTACACTGAAACCAATGCTGGCGGACAATCAGGTAACAGGACTGGAGCTCTCTCTGCACAGGTAGGTATGCACAGCTTTCCTTTCACAGGGTAGTTCAGGGGCGTATTTACCCCAAGTCAAACAAGGAATTTGCCTAGGGTGGCATATTTTTGGGGGGCAGCACTGACCCCTGGAGGAAGGGACATATGCAGTATGGGGACCAGATGGGATCTGAGAGAGGCTGCTTGATGGTGTATGCAGAGCCCGACTGTCGTTCCTGGGCATGTCCAGAGCTGTAAATGTGACCCACTCGGGGGGTGGGTGTTAGGGAAAGGTTCTCTTAGGTGGGGGGGATGATGGGGCAGGGGTGCTGTTGGTCACTGTCAGGCTCTCTCCACGTGGGGGTCTGGTGTTGGTCGGTGTCAGGCTCTCTTCGTCGGGGAGGAGGGGCGTCCAATTTTTGTGTTGCCTAGGGCAGCACAAAACCTGAATACACCACTGGGGTAGTTAGAATAGGTATAGTTATGACTTGATTGACCATTCATTTAAACGTCATTTACACGGTATGTGAAGGTTTCATGGAACCTATCTGAAGCCAGTATACTTACAATAATGTGAAATAGAAGGGAGCACTAGCTTCTAGGTCAAGGCTGCTTCCTGTCTAGTTTTTTCCTGGAAAGGAATTCTTTTGCTGCTGACTTTGAAGCCATCTTTAGTCTAAAATGGAAGTCAATACAAAACATTAAACGACAAAACAGATGAATATTTCATGTCTTATATTTAATGCAGGTTTGAAAAACTGTTACATAAAAATTTGTGAATCTAATTCTAGCTCATCCGTTCAAGTATATAATTGGTTTTGGGGTTAGTGGTGCATAACGCCATGAGCAATGATCTTCCTGAACCGAGTCGGAATGATAGCGCTAATCAGAAGACAACCTTTATCAGTTACACTGTACTAGATTATAGCACATCATTGCTCTGTCTCTAACAAACAATAAACAACTAGTATCTGTTTACTAGAATGGACAATTAGGACTGTCAATCAAACTGGAGTTCTGCTAATAAATTCAAGATTATCCAGATAAAATTATTCACTTAAAAGCCAGCTCCAGAGACGCATTGCATTCTTCCTTGGCCTTTGCTGTGTTTATCCATTAAAGACATCATTTCATTTTCTTTTTGGACACCTAGCAATTTTTTTCTCAGGCTTATGGAAACACAGTAATTACATTTCCCAACACATTTCCCAATCATATGTTGTAGTGTGAGCTGTGTTCTTTTTAATTATTCCCTGTGGTCTGAGCTCACTCACATGACACTGCACCATTAGCATTTGCTTGGGAATTGTTCTTTTCTCAATATGTATTTCATTTACATAAAGCTAAAATAAACCACATTTGTTCATGAGAACTTCAGAATCGAGATATTTAAAATAGAACTCCAGTGTAAATTATTCATTTTGTTTTGGCACAGGTACTTCTCCCATGACAGGTTGCTTTTTACAAAGATTTGTGAAAGATCTACCAATTATATGTGTGTGTGTGTTCGTGTGTATGTATATATATATATATATATATATATATATATATATATATATATGTGGATTTCTTCTCAGAGAATAGGTGCAGGAAATCCCCCCTTCTAAGTCACCCCTTGTCTCCATCCCTTACCCACCTCTGAGCCTCGTCGCTTGGTTCCACCCCCAACCCACTTCCTAGTACTGCCCCTTTTAGAGGATACAGAATCAAGTATCCATTTGCAGCACCAAGTAATTTAGATGGAACTGGTTAATGACAACAAGAAAAGCAGTAAAATTGATCTCCTGCAGCCAGCAACAGTAGACCCCTCCAGCAACGATGGATTTCCTGCAACAAAATACCCCCTAGCATCAATAGATCCACCCCAGCAACAATAACCCTAGCCAGCAACAATAGATCTTCCAGTAACCAGCATCATTAGACCCTCCAGCAGCTAGCAAAGATAGACTCTCTCATCATCATTAGATCCCTTCCAACAACAATTGACCCCTAAGGAACATAAGACCCCAACAACTATCCCGCAGTAACAAGAGATCTCCCAGCAACAATGGATTCCCTGCAACAAGTCCAGCCCAGAAATAAGAATCCCTTACCAGCAACAATAGATCCCCACATAATACCCCAACAACTATCCCGCAGTAACAACAGATCCCCCAGCAACAATGGATTCCCTGCAAAAAGTCCAGCCCAGAAATAAGAATCCCTTACCAGCAACAATAGATCCCCCAGCAGCCTGCATCAGTAGACCCTCCAGCACACTCCAGCACCCCCGTGTTCCCCCAGAAAAAAAAGCCCTGTATATATACTGTATATATATGTTGTACATATACAGTATATATGTAAAGAGTCCTCCATTGAAATAGAATTGGAATTATTTGACATGTATATACAGTAAATGCCATCTCCTTGCTAGTTGTGTTGTTGGATGGCTGTGGGGGAAAAGAAGGGAGGCATCCACGTAGCTAGCGTTCCACAGCCAAGCCTTCCCCTGGGGGAGAGGTCACTGTAATGAAAAAAGACTTCTTCTTTCTTTTAACTAACGTTTGTATGGTATTGCACATTATTGATCACAAGTGTTCCCTCACAGGGCTCTCCTGATGATGAATATGTACCTTCTGAAGCATTATTGTCAAGGATCGCACATCACAATACTCTCTGTGACCAGCTGAGTTACCTAGAGCCGGATCTAGCAGAGAAGAACCCACAAGCATTTGCCCAAAAATTACAGGTTTGTCCTTTCACTCTTGTCATGCCTTTTATGCAGATAGACAAATGTCAGCCTTCTGTTTGTGTTTGAACTGTACCCCCATGATGCTCAGCCAGACAGCTGAAGCTAGAATATTGCACTTTTTATCTTTTTACACCCTTTTCCAAAAAATCCATCTCTTTTTTTATAACTTTGTCTACTCCTCCTTCTTGTGTGCTTCACTCTAGAGGGTCTTCTGACATAAATTAAAATTTGATTGCTACCTGTAACTGTAGGTTTGTAAAAAAAAAACAAAAAAAACCCACAGTACTTCCATATATTGTTGCCCCACCTGCTGGGGAAACCTGGCATTACATACCAAACTTTCAGGGCCTACTCACACCAGAAACTGCACATAGCTGCGTTTTTTTTTTTTTTCTTCTACCTATGCATGCATTTGATGCAGCTGACATACGTTTACATGCAGCTGACGCACGTTTACATGCAGTTGACGCACATTTCACATGCAGTTACGTGTGTTTACATGCAGTTGACGCGTGTTTTTTTTTACTACATTTGAGGTCACTTCCTTCATCTTTCTTTCCTTGGGCTTCTATGTGCACTGTGATGCGTTGCAGTGCATTTGCATGCATTTTAGGGCATTTGCAGTGTGGAAAAATGCAGCATGCTGTACTTTTCTGCACTACACTGCCATGGCGTGAACTATGCCCATAGCTTAGCCTGGATTTTGGAATGTGTGTGCAGTTGGAGTGCAGTCCAAAAGGCTTTCGACTGCAGCCAACTGAATCCCACTGCGTTAGGTGTGAAAGGGTCCTTAAAGTTGAATTCCGGGCACACATTTTTTTTTTTCTTTTTAAATATTTTCCTCAATAATCACAAAGGATATAAATCCACGTGTGCACTGAATGTCTTTGCAAACCCAGATATTGCCTTGTAAAAGCAGCAGTGACATCACATTACTGTACATAGCCTGTACAGGCCTATGGGAGGGACCCAGCAGGCCAGACCCACTACAAAAATCTACAAGGTGAGGCAGAGACAAGACCGGTCACCCTGCACAAGGAGAGAGAGCAGCAGTGAATGGTTGTTATTACAGGAAGATCCTGTACAGAGGCAATATTTCACACTGGGTAACTGCACAGATCTAGAAGAAATGCATAAAAGCACACAAAGATTCAAGAAGGAAAACACATACCTCTTATATTTAGACAATAGCTGCTTATCCTAGAGTTTAGCTTGAATTATTTAGTAACATTCAGCTAATGCATTGAAAATAGCATTGAGGTATCTGTATTTATATTATATATTAATGCGGCAGCCATACTAGTTTCATTTAGAAATGTAGATGATGACTTATCATAGCTGCTTTTCACACTGGATTACTGCACTGATCTGGAAGATATACACAAAGCACACCAAGATATGACTGTATTGATGATGATTAATGTATTTAGATCATATTTGCTGATCCCAGTCATCAGCTTTAAAATGAAAAACTGAAAGGGAATTATTCGGTTTTTAAATTCTTTTTTTATTATGTTTAGTACAAAAAAAATGTAATTAGGTAAATATGAAATGTTACACAAATACTAGAAAAAATGCCATGGTAAATAGGTGGATCACCCCTATGTAATGACTCTCTGTCTCATCATTTATGGAGATGTGGGTTATAACCGAGAAAAACTATAACATAAAGGAACAACCATAAAGGAAGGCTGTGAAGTAATAAACCCAAGCAGAGTAGTTGAAAATACAAAAATGTCTTTATTATAAATCTCACAATAAGGTGAAACCTTGCATACCACAAATATTAAAAGAATCAACAATCCTGATTGCAATATCCACTGGCTACTATAGTATACCAATCATCACAAATATACTCCAATATAATAATTATTACCCTGTAAAGGAATCATAAAGTAATTCAACAATAAGCTTGGTGATAAGTAAAAGATAAATCATCTACATCATGAAGAGTAACCATGTTGGATGAAAAAATTGGTAGGCATCTGAATGATATAGGTTCCTATCATCCTATAAATAGTAATTGCTAAGGATCATAGACATGATCCAAAGGAACAAAAATCAGTAAGTCCCGTATCCATATATATATACCTCATCAAGGTCAAAAATGATGTTGTGAAGCAATCGCTTTACAGTCATCAAGGACTGCTGAAATAATACATGCCAATTCCAGCGGGAGTATAGATTGTCATGGATATTAGACTTAGGTTGGAAAGCAGAAAGTAAGCCATTAACATCATAGGTAATGACCTAGTTGGAGGAGAAGATGTAGATGGGAATCTGAGTGATAGAGGTTCCGGTCATCCTATGTATAGGAAATACTGAGGATCATATGTCTAGTCCACAGGAACACAATTCAGTCAATCTAGCATCTGCAAAAATATAACATAGAGGTCAGATATGGTGTTATGAGGCAATCACCACACATCAATCATACGCTGAAAATCAGACATTGTGAGAACAGACATGTAAGTTCCAGCTGAAGTACAAGTGATTACAGATGTTAGGCTTCAGATGTCACGAGAGTATGGGAAGAACAGCATGTTGGAAATATGGAGGCAGCTCCAGTTGAAAGCATATGTTGCGAGATCGTAATTACGTCACTCACCAGTGGTGTATCTGACACTTCATGACTTGGTGGTGGATAAAAGATCTCGGGAGTACCTCCGTCCATTGCTAACTGCTGTACTGTTCCCCGTGGAGGCCTTGAAGTTGTCTCTGGGATTGCTTTGGTGCAGGGAATTGGATATTGTAGAGCCATATGGAGCCACGTGTGTGCGGCTTCAATTCTGATCCAGTGTGCCCACATGTTTGTGAGGACACCTATGGACATCGCTTCGGTGTTTGATGACGTCATTACGTTGACGCGTTTCGTCTGCCAATCACCGCAGACTTCGTCAGATATATGAAATATTTCCCATTTACTACTTGCAGCCAGAGCTGTGCCACCCATGAAGCCATTTGGGTCAGCGGCACCAATTCAAACACATTGGATGGTGGTAGTGAGACTGGACACTCCATCCTCAGTCCAGCTTAATAATTTTGAGCCTGATAAAATCATAGGCTCAGCATTACTGAGCTCTTTTCTCCAGCCACTGCACCTGTCACTTAGCAAAAATGACTGCGTGGGGTGGCATCCACCCCTAGCACATCCCTGTTTGCAGCCTACAGATGAGGCATACAACTCTATGCAAGCTTTCTCCTCTGTGAGGTCTCTTGAAATCAGGTCATTTCTGGAATAAAATAGACCAAGATATCAGAGGAGGGACCTCCCCCCCCTTCCCTGATAGAAAAACTGGCAGCATCTTAAAGTATATATATAAACCCTCACCTTTTAAAACAAACCATTCAGTTTAAAATAGAAATGGAATGCAAAATATTTATGTATACATATAAAAAAAATTATAAATACGTTTCCCCTCTTTTTAGAAGTGATCACTTACCCTCTGTTCTGAGCTGCATAAGGAAAACCAGGTGGAGGAACAGCAGTACACTGATCTTCCCAGTGAATGGTTGTGCAGAGGGGATGTGTCAGCACAAGCCTGATCATTGGATTATCTCCCAGAAAAGCTAGAAAATTGACCATGCTATGCTCTCCTGCCAAGTGTGGTCAGTTTTTAATAGGGGAAGGATGATTTCACACAAAGGAAGCAATACAAAGAGAACATGATACTTTTTCATACTTTTTCATAGATTTCATTCGTACTCATTCAAGTACATAGCACATAGTACAGCAGGCACATATCATGAATATGAAATGTTGGGATTATATATTCTTTAAAGTATATCTAAACCCTATCACAAAAATTGCATGAAATAGGGTGTTATAGGGTGACAGTGCTCTATGCCTGTCTCCCTTTTTCACCCCTTCCCATTGACTTCCAGCCTATGCAAGGCATGTTCCATCATTGTCATCACCAGGAAGGCCGCCTTGAGCAATGCCAGATAGATGTTGCTGGAGTTCATGTAGACAGAAAGTTGCAGCAAAGAGACTGTGTGGGATCAGCAGCACTGAGGGTAAAATAGTATTTACCAAAAAAAAAAAAAAATGCATGAACAGTGCTTTAGAAAACTGAATGGCATCCCATTAGGGTTTACATCTACTTTTCCTATTGGATAAACAGAAAACTTAGGTTTAGGCTTCCCTTTTGGAATAAAGAAGCACTTAGAATCCCAGGTAGGTGTAAGAAAACTTCTCCAGTGGTCAGCACAGGGGCGTATTTACCACAAGACAAACAAGGCAAGGCATCTGCAGTGCTGCCCCCCAGAAGAAGGAACACACGCTGCATAGGGACAAGGTAGGATCCATAACAGCCTGCGAGCTGCTCGATGATATGTGCAGAGCCCGAATCTAGGTCCCGGGGATGACCAGAGCTGTGAAGGTGAGTGTCTCTGAGTTTCTTTCTCTCTCTTGCCAGGGATGGGAGGGGGTGGCAGCAGGTGTATGGGGGAGGCAGTGGTGGTGTCAGGCTCTCTCCTTTGGGGAGGGGGGGTTGCTGGTTGGTGATATGCTCTCTCTCTGGTGGGGGGGGGGGATGTTGGTTAGTGTCAGGCTCTCTCCTTTGGAGGGGTTGTTGGTCGGTGTTATACGCTCTCCACAGTGGGGGGGGGGGGCGTGTTGGTCAGTGTCAGGCTCTCTCCTTTGGGGGGGTGGGTTATTGGTTGGTGTTATACTCTCTCCGTGGTGGGGGGGATGTTGGTCTGTGTCAGGCTCTCTCCTTTGGGGGGGTGGTTATTGGTTGGTGTTATACTCTCTCCGTGGTGTGGGGGGGGATGTTGGTCTGTGTCAGGCTCTCTCCTTTGGGGGGTGGGTTGCTGGTTGGTGTTATGCTCTCTCCGTGGTGGGGGGGGATGTTGGTCAGTATCAGGCTCTCTCCTTTTGGGGGCTGGGTTGCTGGTTGGTGTTATGCTCTCTCCGTGGTGGGGGGGGGTGTTGGTCAGTGTCAGGCTCTCTCCTTTGGGGGGTGGGTTGCTGGTTGGTGTTATGCTCTCTCAGT